TGACTGTGGCTGTTTGTTCTTTCAATGCTGTGGTTTCTGTAGGCAAGCACAGACGATGGCTTTGTGTACTGTCTGGATGCTCGCGCTGAGAAGCCTCTGTTTACTCTGAAAGCTCACGATGGAGAGGTGTCAGGTAAATCGCCTTTGTGTCCTGTTTGTCCCAAGTGGGCAGGGCACATCTGGGAGATGCCTTTAATCCATAGCACTGAGGTTAGCACTTGTTAATCAAGTAAGTTGTGCATGCTAATCATGGTAGCTGGCATGTGAAACAAATCTCTGCTGAGGGGATTGGGAGACAAAACAGGCCTGCATGCTTCCCCTGGCTCTCACTACAGTGGCAGCATGGAACTTTCATTAATGTTCTGCTCCTTTGTTCTGGAATGGAGTTAGTGTAAGGAGAATACTGGGGTTGTTCTCATCTTCACTTCAAAATGTATCTTAATCTCTGTGAAATGGGGATTGCCCGGTGCTCTCACACTGCTCCACTCTTCATCTTCCAGGGCTACAACTAAGCAGTCAGATCAAAGGGTGCCTTGTGACATCATCTGCTGACAAATATGTGAAAATCTGGGATATCCTGGGAGACAGACCAAGTTTAGTCCATTCCAGGGATATGAAAATGGTATAGTAATATTTATGTATTGATTCTACTATGTCTGCTTATTCTTTTTCTGTCTAGTTTGAATCTTGTTCTACCTAAGGTCTCATAGGGAAAAAAATAGCAACATATTCTGGGTAAATCATTATCATCACAGTGCAGTATTCCACATGGAATTGGAAGCCTGCTTTAAAGCCTCAGAGTCCCAAATTCCAGATACAATGTTCTGAGTAGAATTACGGGTGCTCCAGCTTGCTTCTGCTACATTCAAGACAAAGATGGGATTAACTGTTTATAATTAGCAGCTCTTGACTTTCATTTTATGTCTTTACAAAAGAAGTTTCAGAAACTTAATTAAATGTGTTAAAACTTCCTTGGTGAAAGTATTTTCAGATGATAAATTCATTTTAAGATTTAAAAAAAAAATCTCTTTTTCTCCCACCCTGCCAGGGAGTTCTGTTCTGTGCAGCTTGCTGCCCTGACCTCCCGTTTGTCTTTGCCTTTGGAGGAGAGCGGGAAGGGCTGCGTGTTTGGGATATAAGCAAGATCTCTGCAGGTAATGTTCTCATTTCTTTGAATCTTGTGGTTCTCCCCTTGCTTGCAGGGTGTATTTGTCTTCAGTAATGTATTGTGACTCTGACAGAAAACCATAGGGGTTAGTATTTTTAAATACTCCCAAAACTGTATGTGTGATCACATTTTCAGCTTCAAAAAACATGGTTTTTTTCCTAAATTGGAGAACTGCTTGACACGATTTATGTTCTTGCAGCTAATGTGTAATACCTTATTTCTTGTAATTCCTGTGTTTTGGTTTTTTTTGTTGATAGTCTTGATGTGATTTGGTGTCATATTTTTTGAGTACTTACAGGAAGAAAAGTGAGGACTGGTTTTGATCACTTGTAGCTACCTGTAACTAAACAGCATGATTTTTTTGGAGAAGGCTTTTAAGAGCCTGTTGGGAACCAGAGACTAAAACCAGAAATAAATTATTTAAACTTAATGATGTAGTCTTCAAACCTCATCAGTTTTACAGTACTTAGGTACAGAATTATGTAAAGGAAACCTCTAGATGCTCTGGAGGAAAAATAATAGAACTTGTAATTGAAGTGTCATAGGCAGGCAATTTCCTGACCTTTATGTTCAACTCTGTACTTGGGGTAAGGGGAAGAGCTTTGAAACCACAGCAGGGTGGGATTTCCATTCTGTGCTGCTCACCAGGCTGTCCCTGCTGTACTCCTCTCTCCTCTGGGAGAATAACATGTAAGCAATTCCATTTGTGTTGCAGTGAATGAAGTTTTTGGAAACAGAGAGAGGCTCATCCTGGCTAGTGCAAACTCTGTGGCTTCTAGCTCCACAGCCAGCAGCAGCAGCAATGATTTGGAGACAGCAATGGAGTCATGATGGACCAAACATCAAAAAATAAAAGTAATTAATGGGACTACAACTAATGTGTATTCTGCAAATGCCCCTGTTCGGTGGAGTTCATGGAAACAACTCTGGTGTCTTGCAATCTGCAGGCTTCTTCATCTCAGCCAAAGAAAGGTGGTGGTGTGGTTAAGCTCTAAGCTCCTGCTCTATTACCAGCTGTGAAAGATGGAATTACTTGCCTGATTAATGATCCCTGAAACAGGGGCTACCATATGTAAAGCTGATACATAAAATGGAACAGTCACTAGAAAAGCATTCTGGGATCACAGAAGTTTGTTGAATACTGCAAAGAGATTTATCTTCTACCTTCTAGGGGCATAAGGAAAAATATTTCACACAACAGTTGTGTAATAAATAAACAATTATTGACTTAAATTACAAGTGTAAATAAATAATTTATCCTTAATTTGAGGCTAGGTTTACAGATTTTGAAAGATCTTCCAAGTAGCTTTTTAAATCTTAAGAGTACTTCTCAGGCAACAAGTTTGAGTCTTGAAGCATACTTGGAATGTATTTCTAACACTGATATCACCAGTATCAACCAGAAATAACCCAGCTCTATCCCACCAGGACTGGGGATTTCTTTTTCCAGGTTCCACAGCACCTGAAGTTTAGTAACACTGCACATAGTATTGGATTTTTCTTCACACTCCAGATGTATTGCAAGAGAATTTGAACTGAAATAAGGAGCTGCTACTCAAGGAGGATGAGAGGCTGTCAGGACACAAAGTGAGGGTTGGGATCCCAGCTGGTCACTGTTACTGGTGAAAAGCTCTCTATTATGGTCTTAACTCTGCTCAGGCATTTGTGCCTGACACCTGAAAGCACAGAGGAAAGTTTTAAGTATCAGTTTAACCACCAACTTAAGCCCCTTGTTTGCAGAATCAGGAAACCTAATCAAGGGATGTGACTCAAAGGATTTCCTTGCATTTCTAATGTAACACCCACCTGCTTTATATCAGGAACATAATTGTTGCTCTTACCTTCCACTGAGCACTTGCCCTCTGCACACACTGAAGGTGCCTTAGAGTGTTCCTGCTGCAAAACACCCTGGGTATTAAATCCACTGATGCAACTGTAGGATCATACCCACAGCTGCCAAGCTTATCCCACTGCTTTTCACCCTAACTCACTGCAGTTCATGCTGGTGAGGTAAAGCAGGCAAACTGTGTCCCTACAAACTGCAGATGGGGAAAAGGCAGATCTAATTTTTCTTCCTATCCCTTGAGGGCAACTGGCTGCTTTAAAGCTACTTCAGCTGTTTGTAGTCTGATGAAGGTGAAGGTGTTCAGCATGGCTCTGCAAGGAACCAAGAATACTCTGGATGTGTTGGGATTCCTGCCTCCATCCTGTTTCTGCCAAGCAGTAGAGAATGATGTGTGGACAACAAATGAACAATTGCTTTTGTGAAGCTTAAGAAAGTGTATGTACCAGAACCACTGCCGTTCAACTGCTCTCCACTGAAAACTTCTAAGTTTTTCAAAGCTTTAATTTTAAATAAATGCTTTGTGACAAGATCTTTGAGGGTAAGTGATTTCTCTTACCTCTGTCCCTAGCATTATAATTGGCACTGTGGGTCTCAAAGTTGCTTTTTGTTTCTGGAAGAAATTTCATTGCTTGAAGCAACACATATTTGCCTGGATTTACCAAGATCCCAGCACCTGTCTCTCTGGAGCTTTTTGGTCACATACTGATCTGAGATGAGCATTTTCAGGTTTTAAGAACCCTGGGAGCTTTCTAGGAACGGCAGCATAAAGGGAGAGGAACAGCTAAGCTTAGGCCACTTAGGGCCCAAAGCAGAGCCTCTTTTCCAAGGGAACCTCCCATTATCTTGTCAGAGAACAGAGCACACCCGAATCTTCTTTTGCAGCACAGCCAGAGGAGTGACACAGCAAATATTCTAGAGTTCTTTAGCTGCCCAGTTCATGGAAGTGCTCCTACACATACCATGTCCCAGGGAGAGGCAGATGATTAAAAAGTGGTGTTACATCTCTTAGCATCATTATCAGAAATAGGAACATTCTTTTTCAATATATGTAAATGTTTAAAAAGAACATTAGAGAAGAGCCACATTATTAATTATTTCAAAAGAAAACAACCAAATGTAATAATCTTCATTCCATAAATAATATTAGCAGCAAACCTCCCATCATTCTAGGTGGTAAAAGGTTTACAGCACAAGAAGTAACATATACTGTAAACACTGCCTGATCGTCTGTAAGCCCCTTCCTTACTGAGTGAGTCCATGCAGTCTTTTATCTCTGCACCTTCCATGGGCTGTGAACTAGAGGGAGAAGAGGGGATAACTGTTCTCCAAAAACCAATGTTTGATTTTCTGTAGTGGGATACTTACTTTGTATGGAAGTGCTGATTTCACTGGCCTTTTTTTTTAACCCAAAGGTATTTTAAGAAGGAAACCTGAGCATTTGTATGGAAGTGCTGATTTCACTGGCCTTTTTTTTTTAACCCAAAGGTTTTGTTTTAAGAAGGAAACCTGAGCACTGAGAAGTCTTTGCTTTATGCCAAACCACATCCTTCAGTTAAAAAGTTCCACCACCATTTTTTCCTTGTTTCTCTTCCTATCACACCTTGGGCAGTTAAGGACAGTTGGCTTACAGGTCACTGCAACCCCTCAGCTACATTTCTGCTTTGTGGCTCTTTGCTCGAAGGGCTATGCGAGGTGTGTCACGTGTCCTGGAACTGGATGGACTAATCTGAGTGATTTGGAGAAGTATGCACAGCGTGTGTGAAAGAAATCTTGCCTCACATTTCCTTCTTAGCAACTCTTCACTTGCACGTGCATGATCCAGGCTTGTTCAGTGTTCTAGGTACAGATTATATTAAGTGGTGGTAGTGTGGAGACAGAAACAGAAGGAAAACTCCTCATCTGACATACATTGGTGACTGGGGAAACAAGGAAGAGGGTTTTTTTCCTTCCCTACTTATAATATCCAATAAAGTTTCCCTCTCTTCTTCATTTGTGTCCAGCGAGAACATCACCTGTTGAATAGACTCCATTGTTAATCCTACAGTCTTCAGTCCTCATAGAGTCTATTAATTCCTCCTCTGAATCCTCCTCCTCTTCCTCCTCTGGGGCTGACAGACTAGATGTGGGACCTTTACATATTTTTAAGTGTCGAGTGAGGTGATATTTGGTTAGATAAGCCTTGGAGCATTTTTCACAGACATAGTCCCTCTTTCCTTCATGTGAATTGAGATGCTTCTTCAGGTGATTTGTCCTCAGAAACAGCTTGTCACACTTGGGGCACTTGATCTGCCTTTCTCTGCAAGACACAAAAAAGTGAGTTTGCTCCTGCCATAAGACAGCAGGTATTAAAATGTTGATTGAGGTCCATGTTCTAGCAAGGACAGAGATGAAAAGGTCAATTTCCTTCCCACCCTGCATAAAGGTGAGTGGGGAGGAGGCAGGGAAGAAGTAAGAAAACAAGGCTTCTCCTGCATGTTAACAACCCTCAGTCTGTAAATGCAGAGGAGCTTACCAGACTGCAACACATTCTGTAATGACACTGCAAAATCCCTCCCAGCAGTAGTGCTCCTGGCTCATGCTGTAGGAACAAGCAGCAAAGCAAGTCTGTGTTTCTGTCTGCCTCTCTCTCACTCATCTGGCTTGACACTGGCTCCTAGACAGCATGACAGAAGCAGCAATGGATTCCAAGTGAGTACAGAAAACAGATGCTGAAAACAAAACAAGCAAAGGGACTAGCTTTGGGCAAGCAGCTTTTAAGGAGGACCTTGGGTTGGGAGTAAATGCACAGGATGGAGAGATTCTCAGAGCAAAAGACCTGGCCTGGCAGAGGGCTGTGGGTAGGAATTTGCCTACAGGAGGAGCAGGAGAGCAAGCACTTGAGTGAGACCTGCGGGGAGGAAAGGGCTGGGAATGGCTGCAGCACAGCCCTACAGCAAACAGGTGGAGTTCACTAACAAGGTACTCGGTGACAATAGCACTGAGCAGTTTGTCTTTTTTGGTCATGTTGGGACGTGGAAACAGTTCTCAGCAAATAATGAAATATAAATCAAACTACTCCCCTTTCTCTTCAAAATGATGAACACTCCAGACTGCCATTTCACAACACAAGGAGCACACTTGGAATTTACTGTGTCATGGAAATACTGCAGACACTAGAACTCCACAACTGCAGCCAGTAAAACAAGGACTTTGTCTAGACTGACTTCTCTGTCATTTCAGAGGATGAAACCACCTATGCTCCCTAGGCCAAACTATTTGAAAACTGGAGATTCTGTCTCGGGCTGTTCATTATTTCTTGCACGGGCCAGTCCACCAGCTCCTGTGAAGTCACTTACTGTGTGTGAGTGAGGACATGCTGCTTGAGGTCCTGCCTGCGCATGAAGAGCTTCTCACAGTAATCGCACTTGAGGTTCTTCTCCCCGGTGTGAATGACCATGTGCGACTCCAGGTGAGCCTTCTGCGTGAACGATTTGTCACAGAGGGTGCAGCGATAATTCTTCTGACCTAAGAGTACACAGGGACACCCACAGATTGGCACTCGGTGTCCCAAGAAATGCAGTAAGCAAACAAGCCTGACCATTGCTGAAAAATTAAATTTTATCATGAAGAAAGGCACATTTTTCGTTAACAGGACTTGTTTCCTCCTGCAGTTCCTTCAGACTCAGCATAAAGGCCTACTTGGTTCCAATCTATATTTAGCTATGCAAAAAACCAGACAGCTGACTTCATCATTCCCAAAGCTTTTCATTCCATACTCCATGCCCCCACTGTCATGATACTGTTTCAAACCACTGATGCGCTAGTGTGATGCACCTTTCTGCACTTCGTCCTTCTACACACTGCTGCTTGTCTCTCCAGTGCTTGTGGTCAGCCAGCCTTTCTTGTGAGGCACCGTTTGTGCTTCTTGTCCACACCAACTGTGCCTCCCTGTTCTGGATTTCAAAACACCTCCAGCAGTTCTGCACATTTTTCCACCAAGAGATTCAGGCAAACACTTAAAAAGACTAGTCTTATCCAAGATGAATTCTTCAGTAAAAACAATGGTAGCTTCCTTTGTAACAGTAACCATGGTAACCATCTAGATACTGTACATTAGTACATCCCTATCCTCACTGATTTCCCACAGGAATTGTATCTGATGCCTTACTGGAGCCCAACCACATTCGATGCACTGCATTGCCTTTGTCTGCAAAAACAAGTTCTCTTATCTAACAAACACAGGTACAAACATCACTGGCCCTTTGATAACTTCTCTGTTTTATCCCGTTCTTCAACTTATCAGTACTTCTGTTATTCTTTGCCAGAAATAGTTTAAAACCCCAGCATGTTACTGAGTTCAGACTAGATTTGAATACCACTTGAATCCCACCCCACTGAGTATTCTGTGGTTGTGTATACAACATAAATATTTCATCAGTCCATTAAAATGCCTGGCTATTGAGCTTCTTATGCTTGACTTGAGAGTACTTCACTCTCAGTTTTATTTCTTTTCTAGCTTTGTAATTAGAATTTTGTGATTTCCCAGTAAGGAATAGTGAAAAAAAGAAAAAAAAAAAGAGGCAAAAATACCCACACTGTCTATTGGCCTGTGACTTGACCTTCACCCTCTCCCCTGTCCTCACAGCAGGCATCTGTACAAAGCCCTCACCTGTGTGGATCTTGAGGTGTGTCCGTAAGTTGCTTGGATCGCTGAAAGCTTTGCTACAGAAATCGCACTTGTGTGGCTTCATGCCCATGTGCCCCATGAAGTGCACGTGCAGCTTGGAAGGGGAGATGAAAGCCTGGGGGCACATGGAGCACTTCCACTTCCTCTCCTTGCCGTGGCCTGGCCCGTGGTTGCTGCTGTGCCCCTGACTGGGGAGGTGGTTGTGAATATGGCTGCTCAAATGGGCCTTGAAGTCCGCATAGGAAGCGCACTCCTTCCCGCAGTGGCAGATGTGCACATCTGGATGTTCAGGGACACCTTTGGGCACAAAAACATCACTCGTAACGAGGCACAGTAAAGCCTAAACAGAGCTTGAAAAAGTCTGTGGTAGCAAAGCCATGTGCAGAGATTTTCACCTTTGTTCTTTTCAGCTTCGGTGTTGCTTTCCAGCTGTTTCAGGTAGGTAATTTTAAATGTTTTGAGGGGCCAAACTTTGGAACAGTTTTGAGCACAGCTCACCCAAATCTAAATTATCACAATCCAAGCTGGGGGAGGATAGGAACATCTTCAGCTCCAAAACTCCCTTAGCCCTGAATGAACAGAATAATACTATTTTTCTTCCAAGAAAAAAAAAAAAAACAAAAAAACCCCCAAACTTAAAAATCTTTTACTCCTGATCAGTGGAATTAAGTAGGGAAATGTTTCTTTTAAATGATGGTACTCCGTAGTAATGAAATGTTAAAGGAAACTATGACATGCAGCAATGGGAACTGAGAAGGAACACAATGCAGTCCCAAGTCACAGAGCCCAGAGATGGCACTGAAAGAGAATTCAAGCTGGATACTCCCTGCAAAGCCAACAAAAAAGAGCTCTTACTTACCGAGCTGTCGCGCATAGTCCCGACTGTAATAGAAGAGAAGCTCGTGTTCAGGGGGGATGTCCCGAGAGGTGCAGAAGTAAATTTTTCCATCATGAGGATAAGCAACCAGATTCTGCTCTTCCCGGTTCCTACAGCAATAACAACAGTTAAGAAAAAAAGCCCTTCAGAAGCAATGTCGGGAGGGGAGGGGAGGGGAATGGAAAAGAAAAAAGGAAGGGAAAAGGGAAAAGGAAAGATTCCTATAAAAAGGCAATAGGAACATCAGCACTTGTCAGCATATTATAAAAACTTGTATGTCCGTCACTTCTGTCCTTCTTTATTAAAGGAAAGAAAAAGCAGACCTTGAGAGCCAATCTCCTCCACCAAACGATGTGTTTCTCTACACTTCTGAGAAAATTATTAATAGACATTTGAGTGGGCTGAAAGAAATGAGCTTATCTCCTAAGAAATTACAAAAATCTATGTATTTTTCATACACATAGATTCTTCATACACATAGATTCATTTACATAGATATATCCCTTAAGAAACAGAGAATGCATGATGCAAAAAATACCAGTCATGCCTTGAAACAAAATTATCTTTAAAAAGTCCTCTTGAGGACCAGTTCCAAGACGTGGTCATTCATCTTTTGAAGCAGTATCTTGCATATGTTTGTTCACTGTATCTGAAACCAGCAAAAGGTCTGCCCCATTGCAGTGGGAGATGAAACATTACAGTTCTTGACTCCTGCATATGGGAACAATGAAATGAACTGCAGGAGAAACCTACTTTGTGTCACAGAGAAATAAGAAAGGTTCAGCCTTCTCAGTGGACCATGGATGGAGCAATACTTAGGCCAGCCTGGATAGTTTTCATCAGAGACTGAAAGGGACAGGTCTCACAAGCTGTAGGGGCTCAGAACTTGGCCAAAAGAACTCAGGGACACTTGGTAAATAAAGCATTAAAATCAAAAGGACAATCAAGGTCAACTTAAGCTGAATGAAGGTCAACCTTCAGTCTCCAGTACAGCTTTCTACGAGCCTGCAGCTCACACTCAAAGCTCCTTAGCACAGTCCAGGTGGTTCTCACCTGGCTTTGCGTACGAACATCATCCAGTTACATTCATTTTCATCAGTTGTGATGACACAGAACTCCAGGACACCGTTGTGATAGATCTACCAGGAAAGACAAATGTAACCTTAGGACAAAACATGGCAATAAATGAAGTGAAAGCCAGCCTCTTTCTTTAAGAGAGGATGTGTTTACCTAGAACAAGTCAGGAAGTCTCCACTGCCATTACCAACACCACAGCCCTGTTTTCACTCCCTACTTTCCTCTTCACACAGGCACCTTGACCTCTGCTACCCAGGAGGCCAGAAAACCTGTTTATCAGCATCTTTCTCACCTTTACCTTCCAGTAGAAAGGTATTTGGCTACACTTCCTACAAACCAAGTCTTGTGAATAACAAAATCTGGGCAAACAGTACATGTTTTATTTATATAGGTCAGATTTACTTTCTGAAAATGAAATGATGGAGAAAGAAGCTTTAAATTGGCTTTACTAAAACAAATCATTCATCACCTGGGGGAACTTTCAATGAACAGAGATATAAAACAAACAAACAACTGCTGCCTAGTAATTCATACACAATCTCTGCGGCAACTCCACACAAACACTGAAACCACGTACAGCCCTTTAAAAGAGAAGGCATTAAAGAAGCTTTTTGTACTTCAGGATTGACTACCAGCATACTGCAAGGTATAAGCTCTGCTGTGCTGATTCTAAGAATTAAACTATTAAATTACATTACTTTTGACTTTTGGCAAAAATGATAATGTTAATGTAGCTGTCATGTGGTAGCTTTCACCAGAAAAAGGCATGCTGGCAGGCTCTGTGCACTGTAACACCACTGACCTTCCAGATGTGACTGGCTGCTTTGTCTGTCCAGTCAGCCACCTCCAGAGAATGGCTCTGCTGCCCGATCAAAGGTCCGAAACAAGTCCTCACAGGAATGGTTTCTCGCGTCCACACACCTATCATAAGAAGACAAAAATCTGAAGAAATCAATTACTTAAATAACGAATCATGCATAATAAAGAAGTGGGAGGCTTATGAGATAATGCTCCAGAGGTAGTATCTATGCATAAGATCGTCAAAGCGTCTACTTCACATGTGAAACACACCTATGGCAGAGACAAGAACCACCACCAACACATGACACTAATGGGAGCCGCTTTGGTGTCATCACAAGTATTTATTTGGTCAAAAGCAAACAATTTACTTTTCAGTAAGCTATAAAACTAATATCCTAGCCACTTGTACCAATTAAAGTTCTCATGGCACTTTCTGCAGAAGCAGAAGATACTAGTTTCAGTAACTACATTTTGCCTACCTAATCCCCAGGAATTTCCAGAATTGTTGCTGGGCATTGTTAAGCAGCTTCTGCATTTCTCCCCAGAGGCAGCTGTATTTCTGTCATGGGCAGAGGGATTCCTGCATGTATATTATTTGATTATTTATTATTAAACATTAAAAAAAATAATATATATATATATATGTGTATATATATATAGGTCTACATGAATACACTGAATAGCTCTTAGGAATAAACTGGAAACTAGTGCAGCTTGAAAAGAACAGATGTCATCTACTCTCAACAACACTAAGCAAGCCAATAATCACATTCTTCTCTAGCCTTCAGATCCTTAGGGTACTGCACTGTACTCTTCGATTTCCAGGTGACAGTGACGAGAAATACAGTAACAAGGTCCACATCCAGTGACAAGGTCACAGTCTACATGCCAAATGTAAATGAAAGGGGGGTGGGAAAAACAGAGGCACTTGTGATCAATACTCCAATGAGAGCACCCAGAAGACAGCAAATCTCACGAAAAAGTGAACAGAATTCTCCTTTATGACTTCTAATTGTCAGCTTCCCCCAAACTGCAATTGCTGTATTGTTTTCTTATCAAAGCTGTGCCTGGGCTGTTTAGCACGACAAAAAACCACCATACCTTGTTTGACCTTAAGCAGTGTCACACACTGTGGCAGCAGCCCTATGGTAACCAGACCACAAGGAGCTGGTGGATAATATAAGTCAGAGTGATTACAGAAGAGGGAAGCATCTCTCTCTCGTGGTGTTTCTTTCCCACATTAATCTCCGTACGGTTTTGGATTTCAGCAGTGAGTGTATTTTAAAGTGCTGCAGGGAAGTGCACAGTAATGTGATCCTTACCCGCTTCAGCTCCCATGATAGACTGGCGGAGGAGCAGCTGCTTCGGGAGGGACAGCCTGGCTCGGCTCTCGATTGGGCTGTCGGGGACAAAGGTGACGGGCCCGTGGTCCGGGCAGTCTGATGGATACGCCTTGTCACACAGCGTGCACCCTGCAGAGACAGGAGGGGACAGCAGGCATTAAAAACATACAGCAGCTCCTACAGTGCAATCAGCTCCCTACCAATGTGCTCCAGCTCAGCTCCTGCCAAAGGCTGCTTCTGTCACCTTCAACTTGTCCACTTATCAGCTTTTACTCAGAAGAATGTGGACCATGCTCTCACAGTCAGGTGGGCACTGACATACAATTCAGATCAAATGTGAGGATCTCCACCTACTTTCCTGACTGATGACCTGGACTCCAGATTATCCCTACAGGGCAATCTAGCAATGGGACAGAGCCCACTTTTCATCAAAGCTACTGCAAACTGAATGATAGCTGCCCCAGTGCTGGTGCTGGAAGAGCCAATTTCACTCTGATCACAAGTGAAATGAACTCTACTGGCAGAAAAATCTAAGATAAACAAAATCAAACATATTCTAACTGGTTATATTTTTGGAATTAAGCAGAAACACTTCTTGCACATAGAACCTCAAGGATATCCATGCAAATGAACCAGTAAGGTCATCCTTCTAAAATTTTCCAAACATGAACCACAAATCCCCTAACCTGCATTTAAATTCAGACAATGTGTAAATCACAGCAGCAAAAACCTGACCTCACTGCTGCTTTTGACAGTCTCACTGCAGCAAACTCATGCAGGGTGAGTTTGCCACTGAATGCAACAAAAACAAAAGCCCAAGAAGAATCTGTAGCATCACTTTCCTAATCTGTCATTCAGCAGAAGTACTGTTATAAAAGAAACCAGTGAAAGTCTTCAGTCTAATAAATCTGAGGGAAAGTACAGCATAAAATGGTCTCTACAGCATTACAATTTCATCTAGAAAAATGATGTCATTTTAATTCTCTGTGGATGGAGCAACCAACAGCTACTCAGCAACCACTCTCCTGATAAATAATCGTTCTTCTGAAGAAGAAAGATATTCAGGTAATTAATCAGGATCTCCACAAAGACTTCTTCGGCCTCTTGATGACCCAGCTCCAGCATAAAAGACCTATCACAGAAGTAGCCTTCAGCAGGCCCAAACAGCAGCTCCATCCTTATATGCTTTAAGACATTTTCCAGATATTTCCTTGATACACCAGGGTACCAGAATTTGACCTCATATAAAATACAGTTTGAGCAACTACACATGAACAGATAGGAAAGTACTCCAAAAATTATTAGGTAGAGCCTATGTAAGCATTATTTCATGTGCACAGTGGACATGTAGGATTGAAGCAACAACAACAGCAAGACCCGAGTAATGAGAACCACGGTGGTTCTCATTCTCAGCAGGAACAGCTGCTTTTAAGCATTGCCTGGCACACACCCACTATGGGTCTATGGACCAGCTCCAAGGAGAGGCAGAGGAAGAAAAGATCTAGGCATGGGACATTTCCACTTGGAGAAGTTCAACCATTCATACATTTTTAAGATGTTGGAAAACAAAAAATCTCACATTCCATAGAAAGATAAATATACTTTCCATTACTGTCCTTGCCAAATCATCAAAAAAAGAAAATCTGTCATTATTTCTCTGATTTGGATCCCCAGAACTGTCAACAAAGATGACCAAAAAAACCACTTCTTAAAAGCGTTTGCAAACATTCAGGACTGTAGCAAAGGCACACTTTTTATTTACTGCTTAGGAACAGTAAAAAATTTTCTGAAAAAGGCCCTGACTCCTGCCATCTGAGTGAGGAAAAACCACTAAGGGGATCTAAAACAACTCCTTGCCCTTGTTGTCACCTGTCTGGACACAAATTCTTGTTAATTCAGGTGAAGTTTAAAAACATCAACAAAAAGTTAAAATTTAAACCTCCCCAAGTGAAGAATCTGTTTTGCAAATCACACGCAAGCACAAGGCATGCAACTGCCATTTTAATGTCCTACCAAAAGGGAGCATCGTCTGGAAAACAGCTTAGGACCATGCTAACTATAACAACAGAAAGCTGGCACATCAAATCTCACTTTTAAGAGAGTAAAAAAAGTTATTTCACTGCAAGCACGTTGGATATCACAGTACTTGGATCATTATTTGTCCAACATGCAACAGATGCTTGTAGGAACCTCTGAATGCATCGACTGCAAAACTCTTCCTCTAGGAGTTGTAAATTCATCAGTTCTATGCCCACCTGATCTGAAGTTGCATTTTATCCCACAGAATGAAATCTTAACAAATTAATCCAAATGTCTGATTGACTAGACATTAGGTACTTTACACTAAACTGTACCTCTCCTCTTGCTAACCAAGGCACTGTATCTTTCAATTTCTTAAAATATGTTCTGCAGGCAAAGCAAGCCATTAGGTTCTGGCAGTTGTAGGGCCAGACTGGATGAAGAGCAGCACTCAGCAATGCTACCACAGATAATAAAAATAAATATAAAAGCTGGCCTTATGTTTCAGTGGCAGGAAGCCAGATATCCTGCAGGTGAAAGTGTAAATCTCTCTCCCAGCAAATGAGAACTTCTCAGTTTTCAAAGACCACTCCTTGAACAATAACAGGACTGGCAATACAATACCAAGTGCTCCTCTCTTCCTGCAAGATCCACTAACTTCTGGACTAAAGTCCTTTGATGAGACTAATTAAAAATATTATAAAGTTCCTTCCCTCTGCTCTTTTTTTCCTATTTAGAACCACACTTTCATGATGATTGCTCATGGTTTAATGTAAGTTTTACAAAATCATGTAATGTCATACTCAACAATTACACCCATTTGATGAAAAGTATGGCCTGTTATGTTTGTTGTATTTTTGATGGAGCAAGAAGAGTCACTTGTGATGTGACTTTATAAAAACAGAAGTCTCATCAGAAAGGATAACAAGCATATTCACCGAATCGAGAGCTTCACCAAGATTCAGCTTCCAACCTCACGGCAACATGAAAATGATACAAAGAGAATTATGCTAAAACATCCTATTATATCTCCTACTACTTCCAACTACTGTTGTTTCAGAACAGTTAATCTGGCACTGCAAATGTTTCAAATTTTGGACTTGTTAAATAACCATAAATCTGTAAGACTAGCAACCAGAGCCCAGCCAGACCAGGCAATAGCTATATGACAAACCCTACCCCAAAAAAGCAGGAAATGTCCACTCACATATGGTAAACAAGGTTGCCATGTTCTCCTTGTTGGAATTAGAGTCTTCCATTTGTAGAGATGATGGTACAAAGGCAAGATTGTCTGCAGACACATCAACATGGCTCGGCCCCATGGCTACTTCCTGACTTATGGAAGACACTGCCACAGGCTCCAGGCTGAGGCCCACTTCATGCAAGGCTACTGAGTCCAGGGAAGCGAGGTTGTGTGAGGTAGGGAGCGCCACACTCACGGAGTTGGTGCTCATGGCCACAGTATGAATGGGGTCATTTAGTGTGCTGTCCGATATCCCTGTCACCCGCCCAGCAATGTGGTCAGGCTCCATGACAACAGGGAGTTCCAAAGTGCTACCGTGAATGGGAATGACACCGCCGTGCCCCACAGCGTCTGATGTCAAGTTACTCCCCACTGTGTCTACGGCTAAAGGTTCGTGGCTCCGGGAGCCATTCGGGATCTGCGTGTGATCCCCGGCTACATCATCCATTGTAAGCTCCTCTGTCATCCCATCTGTAGAGATGGGGCTGGTTACCCTGGAAACGCTCTCCATGGTGATTGTAGTATCCAGTGCTACCTCGTGGCTGTCACTAGGATGCAGATTTTGAGGACCGTGTGTGTTCACCGTGCGGGAGTCCATGGAGACAATCCCTGGTTCCAGCCCCACGGTTCCACTGGGCTGGTAGGGATCCAGGGCTGAGGGATTGCTGGAGACTGACAATGCTGGATTGCTGTCAACATTTATAGTGTTGGGATGGATGTACTGAGGTGGTGGTCTGTCAGCCAAGTAAGATAAGATACCTGATAGAAAGAGAGGGAGAAAAAGAAGAGAGTGAGTTTACATCAGTTTTCAAATCTTGAACAAAAATCTGTTGAAGGATAGTACGCTGAAATCCTTGAGGACATTTTCTCTACATTATTTCCAATTAAAATCCACTAATTCTAAAATATGGCTCACAAACACATGCCAGTCTAACCCTCTTGTCAAAGTACCACTTGACAACTAATTCAGAGTTTCCACCCAATAGAGCGAGTCTCTAGTTATTTCTCAAACTCTGAACACCCAAGGTAATGGCAGAATTCCACCTAGGCTGCTCAGTACAAAGACTGAATGAGAAAGAGGTTCTTCACATTTTAGGCTTAATTTTTCTTCCCAAAAAATAGCTCACAAGGATGAAGGAGTGCTAGTGGAATCTGTAATTTGGCAATTCCTGGTTCATCTTTGCTAGAAACAGAAACAATTCTCAAGGCCACATAATTTTTTGCTTATGTATTCAAGTTTTAACAATGACTGCTTCCTTCCTCTAAGACTAAGTGGCGTAACTGTCCATCTCAGAGGTCACCAATCGCAGTTCTGAAGGACAAAGACAAGTTCTCTCACAGATTTCATGAGTCATCTGCTCTCTTTTCTGACATGAAAGCATGTTGTTTCTCCTAAAACATAGTTTGGTTGAATTTAAATCAGAAACCCTACCATCTTTTCTGGTAGTTCTGGGAAGGTTCTCAACATCAAACAACCTTGAAACTTAAGATACGAAGAAACACTAAACTGTGTTTACATACTAAAAACAAACAAACAAAAATCTTCCAAAGAAATGCAACAGCACATTCAAGTAAACATTATTTCCAGCAGAGACAGAGGCAGATTTTGCAGATTCTGCAAGATCTGACTCAGCATGTTTCTTTTTAGCCTTCAACTCCATGAGCCACTTGTTCCATAAGAGTTTTCCATTCAAATATGTTTGTGATTACAAGGATGCCAACACAGATACTCTTTCTGCAGCACAACAAGCCAATAAATGAACAGTTTAATCAGCTGCATCAAATATTTCTGCATGCAATGCTGCCTTGTGGCTTGAACACAGAGGATCCTTGATGACAGCAAGATGACTGCCAGAAGAACTGTAAAAAACATCACAGGAAGATTATTCCAGCTCAGAAAATGGCAAATACCTTTTGTCCTAGTGCACAGTTTCCTTCTCTACTCTTTGGCCACTGAACAGGCAGGCATGCAATGCAGTAGGAAAGGTTACTCCTAAGCTGGGAAGTTCAGCCATCAGTCAACAGGTAGCTGCACAAGACCTGGGCCACTAGTTTATTCCTAACGCAGGCTGAACCAACAACACTCAGAGAGTCACCTTGAAGAAGTTTAACTACCTCTTCCACCCTGTCAATCTTAGCTACCAAATAAAACCAGGACTGCATTTGAAGTTTCAATGTCTGTGTTTTCATATACTAACATGTAAAATTCTACATTTATACTCCAAAGCATGTGTGAGAAAGGAATCAAGACAGAAGTCAGTGTGTTAGGCCTTTGGAAATCAACCTTGAAGAAAAATTAAGAAAAAATATGCCATGGGTTAAATGGATGGGAAAGTACCCAACACCACAGCAGATGTCTTGCCCTCTTTGAGCTTTGAACTACTGTAACCTCCCATTATGCACATATTAAATATTGCTTCAGACTACAGGAGAAGAAAAATAGAAGCAACTTCCATGCTACAAGCTATTGGAGACACATACCAGGCATGCTTTGTTTTCTGTTAATGCTACAATCAAAGCAGGAGGAGCAATCAAAGGTTAGGTTTAAACAGAAAATGCCCTCCAATTCTTTTCATACACAAATATAGAAACAGATATCTGAAAATAAAGGTGTGTAAATGGCACAACAGTCTCCAGACAAACTCAGGGAAACAATAGCTCTGTCAAACTGTCAGTCATGCCTGCTTCAGGGCAGAAACAGACAGCTCTTAAAACTGTCTCCTACTGTTCCCATCCCTCAGCACCAGAGCACTTACCAGGTAGAATGTGTCTGAAATAGCTGCTCTCCAGGTGAGGGTATGGTGGTGGAGGTAGGGTGTAGTTTCTCTCTGGTATACCACACATCACTCCTCGATCCCCAATACCCATTGGGAGCATCAGAGACAGAGCAGAGGGCAAGGAACTCAACGAGGGGCCCAGGTTTGGAATTGCAACAGGCAAGCCTGCAAGAGAAAATGCCCATTTAAATTCAACGGAACTCCCTGAGCTGATGAACACAAGCTAACAAAGAGATTAGTAATTCCCCAGGAGCTCTTGCCCTAAGGAAATACAGCATAGCACGGTCCAAGTAAGGTGCCAGGCATCAAAGAAAGGATCAATTACCACAAAAGTGAGAGGCATGCCTGAATATGGCTATTTTTTGGTACATTTTATAGGACTTGCTTCTATTTGACAACTGTAATGGACTTCTATCTGTGCAGGCCCCTGGAAAGAAGAGCTATGAAAACAGTTTTGCTATACAAGTGATTTTTCACCTGAGAGAAATTAGACATAGACAAAGAGAGATTTTCAGCTACAGCCCTAATTTCAATGGAGTCTGACACTACTCACCCACAGTGCAAATCACCCCATTAAAACCAAACGAGGCTCCCACTAAAGCATAAGCCTGACAAGCACTTGTGCCTTTTGCTTTGCCCACATAAGCAACAATTTATGGTTTCCCCTTGCCCAGCTCTGCACCATTTCACTACCTACAGTATGACCTGCTATCAGAGCAGGCACTGCTGCCCAGTTAGGACCATTGCTGTGACAGCAGAACACAGAGCAGGAGCTACAATACCCTGTGTGGGACCCTCCCCCATTACCTGGTGCTGGTATGGCGTTGTGAGTGGGTGACGCTGCCAAGCCCAAGTGACTTCCTGAGACTGGCAGGGCATTGCTCACAGAGGAGGAAGTCAGCTGGTCCATCCCTACAGGACTCAAGTTAATTTCATTCATTCTGGAGACAAGGAACATAGAGGGGAGCAGGAAAAAGAAACAGAATGCAAAATCATTTCTAATTACTGACTGTACTGTGGTGAGGAAAGGTTGAGCAAACAAACTCAAAGTCTGATATTGGCATACAAAAACTGCCTTAAAAAGCTACGCATAAAACACATCAGCCACTCACATGGTCATCACATCATGATCAATACATATTGATCATATTAGACAGCAATAATCAGGATTAAAAACCAGTTCAGAAAGACAAATCAGACCACAGCTTCTTCCTTGACATCCAGAAAACAAAGTCTTACTCTTAGTAATAAAAGCCATTGTGATTAAACTACTGTGAAAACAGATCTATTTACAAGCTGAATGTCAGAAATACTCAGACAACAGCACCTGATTTATATTTCATGACTTCTGGACACCACATCCACACTCAAAATCCAAATTCTGTGAGAAAGACCACTTCAAACTGGTAACAGACACACAACCTCTAATTCCCCACCAGTCTGAACCAGGCCAATAGTGACAAGAGTTACCACTGCAAAACAGCCATAGCAGTTTTAAAAGACTGCCTCAGTCTGGTTCTACGTGCTCCCATCACATTAAAAACTGGCACCACAGCTGCCATGTTATTTCAGTGATCAACCATGCACACCGCTCAAGTGGGCACACACCACACGAGCAGCTGCAGCAACTGCCCAACAACACTCCAAACCTTCAAAACCATGTCAGCTTGGAGCACATTCCTTTGGGGTCTCAAGCTGCACATGCAGCCCAAACCAGTCCGCAGGGATGGGGTCACCATGAAGACATGGTCTACTCACACTTGTCAAACTCTGCAAGCCGTGCCTGACCAACGCTGTGCCCACCCCGGCACCCCTGCCCACACACCAGGTCCGACCAGCAGCTCCCAGGGCCAGCCAGAGCAGCTGCCCCCAGAGCAGCCACACATGCAACATGCTCCAGGCTGACCCAGGCCTCCCACACGGCCTTTGCCAGCAGCAGGCCCAAACGCTGCAGTACTGATGGAGAGCTGGAGCTTGGGCTGCCACTCCGCTAAGGAAAGGTACCACTCATTCAGGAAAAGCGGCCGAATCCACCAAACTCACGCAAGTTAACAACACAAGGTCTCAGCTTGGAAGGGACCCGTAAGGAACATCGAGCCCACTCGCAGACCACCCAGACCACCTGCCTCCCGGGGGGCTGAGCCGCCAGCGGAGTCGCTGATTCCACCCCGGCTCTGCCCACCTTCGGCACCACGCACTGCCTACCGCCCCGCCCGCCGCCAGGGACGGCTCCGCAGGGACGGGGCCGAGGGCTCCGGCTGCCCGGCGGGGCAGAGCATTTCATCCCCGGCTCAGGCGGCTGCTGAGGATGGCGATGCCCGAGGAAGGGAATCACCACCCTCGCCCTGGAGCCGAGCCTCGGGGCCTGCGGGAAGCGCCGAACGCTTGAGGGACCCCCTCCTCTGCTCGCCCTCTCGGTCGGGTGCGCCCCGCGGTCCCGCCCGCCTCGCCCGGTGCCCCGCGGCGCTCACCTGGGGTGCATGGGGCCCGCCGGCGGAGCGCCCGCAGCCGCATCAGGGCCCTGCGCCCCGGCCCGCCGCCTGCCCCCGGCTCCGGTTCAGGCCCCGGCCCGGCCGCAAACCCCACCGCCGCCGCCGCCGCCGCCTCAT